TATGTAAGTAATGTAAAACATAACTCTATTATTTTGCTTCCGCATTCAATTCATATATTTATTTCTTTTTAAGTTCCGAACCTTTATAAATATAGACATCTTTATCTTAAAAATTGAAATTTATATTAAATACTATAGTGTATATTCTAGACATATATATATATATATATAGAGAGAGAGAGAGAGAGAGAGAGATGAACGGGATATCTTTAACTCCAACTTCATAATCTGGTTTTAAGATGTTTATGTTTATCTATTTTCTTCATGCTCTATTTTATATCTTCCATTTCAATCAAACAAAAAATATATATGGTTTGGTTAGATATATATGTGCATGTATATATATATATATATATAAATCTATATAATGAAAAGAATATGACAATACAGTAAGCTTCCATGAGAGATGAAAAAAAAGAACTCGTGGGAAAATAGTAATTTAAAATGTAAAAACCGCATGGATGAAACGTTCCGTTTTGTCGGGTCTGTAGTGTCCAGACCTTGGGCTGGCAAAAAATGCACGGATGAAACGCCCCGTTTTGTTGGGTCTCTAGTGTCCAGGCTTTGTGCAATTTGTGGGAACGTGGGCTTTTTTGACAAAACGATGTCATTTTAAGAAAGTTTTTTAAAAAAATGGAAGGGCGTAGCCTCTCTCAGATTCGATCCCGTTTCGTGCTTTTCAATCCTCGTTTAAAACATTATCACTTTAATAATAATATTTTTATAACTTTACGACTATGTTAATATATTTTTTATTATAAAGTATTAGATAGGTTATTAATAATAATATGTATTTAAATAAAATTTAAAAATATAAATTATATTTTTTTAAAAAATAATATAATAACCAATTCAACATTAATGCTATCTACTAAACTAATCAATGCATTGACAATCATACACATGATATTTTTATTTTTTAATATTTATAAACGAGCTAACTTCATTCATATATAATAAATGCATAACCGAACTACGATTTGATGAATCGAATATTTAATTTTTTAATTATATTTTACATATTTTTCTATTAACCTTAAATTTACGAAGTTAGATTTATTTTAATTAATTTTAAATTATTTGTCATGTAATCGGTCTAAACAATTAAATTTCGATCGATAAAAAAATAAAATAAAAACATAATTAAATTTTTAATTTTCAATATGAAATTATTATTATTATTATTATTATCAACTTAAATCACCATAAATTTCTCCTTTAAATAGCAGAACTAACCTAGTGGGACAATTATTATTTGCTTTATCTTCTTCATTAAAATATAATTGTAAAAAAAAAAAGAAATTCCGAAATTGTAAAATTTTAGCAAATCGAGGGGCAATTCCGTCAACATGCACCCGGAGGTCAAGCCTCTCCGGTTCTCTTCCATTGTTCGAGCAGACCGTCTGCACGGCTCCCCATTTTCAGCATCTGACAAAAGTACATCCAAACTTGAATTAAATTACAGTACTACCCTTATAATATAATATATTGGATATACCATATTTATATGAAGTAAGTTCTCTTCCAAGTTCCAACGCCTTCAATTCGCGAAACAAACCAGAGGAAAAAGGAGCGAGCAGAAGAAAGAAGAAGAAGAAGAAGAACAAGGAAAATATGTTGACGGTAGCCACCACCGGCGGCGACTTGAGTAGTGGAGAGGAGGCGCCGGCGAGTCCGGCGGCTAGGTTATTTAACGTGCCGGGACTGAAGTGTTACATCATCGCCGTTATGGGGTGCAAGACTAGAATCGATCCCGGCGTTGTCATTGAAGGCCTGAAGCATACCTTGATCAAACACCCTCGGTTCTCTAGTATACTGGTAATAAACCTTATGTCATTACATACACTGTACATATACATGCTTATATATGTACCTATAGTTATTTTTATTAATATTAGATTTAAAAAAAAATATATAAAGTGGTTTAATATTACTCCAATTTATCTATTTAATGAAAATTTAATAAATTAATAAACTAGTCTTTACCACTTATTATAATTTAGTTTATAGAATTTTTTGGTTATAATTTAATTTTTAATGTTTTTTATTTGTTATAAACAATTAATTTTCTTTAATTTCATAATAGAAAATTAAAATGACTGTATCATACTTAAATATTTTTAAAAATAATTTAAAAAATAAATTTAACCAATTAATTAATGATATTAATTTAATTAATTAATTATCATCATTTTTTGAGTTATTTAATTAATTACTAATGCTATATGGGTAATTATATTTGTTATAATGTACTCGTGAAACTTAATTTTGTGTGTGTAAATTCTATTTAAATAATTAAACTATAATTAAAAAAAAAACTAAAATTATAAATGTCGATTGATGGTTCAAGACGTGATATATATATATATATATAAGATATATGAATCCTTGTGCCTATGCATGCGTGATTCTGTCACCAATCCACAGGGAAACTTTATTGCATGGATGAAAAAGAAGTTTCTGCAGATCAAAAGCCACTGTGAATCTCGATGTGCTTGGCATTTCCGAATTTCTTGATACTCTATACAATTTATCCACCATTAATTTCTCTCCATACTCTCATGTTTCCCATCAACCCGGAAGTTATCTTCATCACCATCTCCATCATTTTCTTTCAATAAATAA